TAAACGTTTTGCATGCTTGAAGGTCCAAACTTAAGCCGATGGGGGTGCTTCGTGAAAATCCGCTACGTAAAACCCAGGAGAACACACTATTATCTTCCAGCAACACTGGTGTGCACAATTTGTATAAATCCATAACATTAAACCGATCTGCACATGTTCCTTAAATCGGGTAGATCAAACTGGTGTGACACTTTGATGTTCAGAAAACGCGACATACTTTATACTGGTTTATACCTCCATAAACACAAAATATTTTACTATTTTTTGGAGTGTTTTTATTGACTAACCTATGTGCCAATTTGCAGTCTTGTTTTCTCTGCAATTTGGGCATAAATCTGAAAATTTGTCACTCCTTGGAAATGAAGAATTACATGTTTGTACAGTGTGATGATATTACACAGATCACACACTGTCATATATACGGTATACATCAGTTGTATGGTATCTTAGTCAGCTTTATCAAAGTAATACGTTTGTACAGTGTGATGATATCACACAGGTCACATACTGTCATATATACGGTATACACGCTTGACCTCTCTGGACTGCAGTGTCAAGTGTTCTGCATCCCCCTTGGTACACCAGTGATTGTCAAACACATCAACAAAGTGTCTAAATGATGAACGGCACAAGGGAGACTACTCAGTTAGTTCCAGGCACGAACGGCAAGGCGCGCATCGCCGCGTGCGAGCTGCACGGTCACACAGTAAGTCAGTCAACATCATCGCAGCAATGAGACAGAGTGGGCTCGCTATCAAGACAAGCACTGTACAAGGGAGACAACTCCTGCATTCACACGTTACAGGGCCATACGACCAAACTTACAACGCATCTGTCTTTCCACCTAAAACGTTTCCCTGCAGTGTTTTATTGTAAAATATACAACTCCCTGTCGTCGTTTATTTCTTTAATAAAGAAATCCAGTCCCGCCTGGTCCAGGCTGATTTAGACCGCTTCTTTTCAATAGTAAATTAGTTGTTTGAACCGTAACTTTAGTCAAGTGTGTAAAAAGTCCAGTATAAGTAGTATAGGTAATGGGGGTTCTGGCTCACTTCAACTGGAGCCAGATTTCTATACCTATACTGCTACTACAGGGGGTATTTTTTATGTGTAAATGGTGATGCGATTCAACCATAGTCATGAGATTAAAATAAATTTATTATTATATATTTACTTATGTAATCATTCTTCTAAATGTTGGTTTTGAGACGGATTAATTGTTGTCTCCCCTGTTCTATGAACTTTTTTTCTTCATCTTCGCCACTAATACCATTGGTCTGTGATCGACTTTACTAGTTCATGGCGTTGTATTTGGTGAGTTCTGAAACTCCTCTTCGGATGTCTTACAATCAGCTATTGCTGTTGAAACATGATCCTCAATGCTGTTCAAATTTGCTTCGGCGAGTATCCGAATATTATCATGTTTTAATGCTTTCTTTTGCAACTTACAAGAAATGAGTTTTGTCACTATTCCTGCCAGTCCTGAGACTCCTGCGACTATTTGCATGCCAAGTACGATAGGTGCGGCGATTAAAGTTGATAATACACCAACACCGGCTACACCGAGTCCCGTTACAAGCGCGGTGTCAACTCTGTTGATAGCATTCACAGCTCTGCAATACTTTTTATGCAATCTAAGTCTAAACTCCCTCTCCATCCCTATTCGATGTATTCGTTTATTTGATGTAATCAAAATTCATCAACTTCATCGAGCCCTGGATATAAATCCATATTATTATTATATCATATAATAGTCTTTAATTGATCTTGCTTCAATGTTTTGAGAGTATACATCAACCTTATCAAATGTATATTAATTGGCATGAATATCTTAGTAAGAGAAATGCTGCCAATTTTAATAATTTGGACCCCCTCAAGGGTTGCAACAGGTGATGCTCCAATATGAATAATACTGCAACATTGACGTTGGTGTTTCTTAAACCATTTAATCGAAGGACCTGGTAATATTTCGAAGGCATCTTCCGGTGCATCTCCGAACAAGACTTCAATAATAAGTGTAGAAGGATTAGGTATTGCACTCAAGTTCTGTTTAATATCATTGAATTCAATAACCAAATTTACAATAACATTTTTTTATACTGGACAACTATATAACACCCTTTTTCGTTTTGATGGGATATAAGCCCCGGGTACGACCACACTATTTATTATCTTAGTTAATTTATGTACCTTACCCGTCATCAAATACGGCAAGATAATGCCGATATTCAATAGCCACTCGATGTTTGCTTCAACCAAAGTCCATTTACTGTCATCGTTGCGAGTAAGATTTTACAAAGTGTTTTTATATTAGTCTACTAACGTCGACATTGGTTAAATCTCCTAGATTACCTGTGAATGTAACTTCTCTCCTCTTGTATACATTATCTTGTAAGTGTAAAGCATATAACTTACCATCGGTACCGCGTTTACCGAATCATTCTGTGTCTCTGAGATCGGAAAGCGCAATTGTATTACATTGTCTGAGCATTCCCGGGCCTGATGAATCAACCATTATTTATAATATGGAGTGTTACACTCAAGTATCCTCTATGTAAAGGTTGATGTTTTACATCTAATACAGAAATTCTGAGGCCTGAAATGATACCACGCTTTATTTTTTTATATTGTAATGACGAGAAACATTTCGTTCTACCTACTATTGTATTTTTCATCTTTGACTGGAACAGCTCTGAGTAGAGATGAAGGACTTTCGAGTTGAATATTATCCGTAGTGCTTATTTGATCAAGATGGATGCACAACTCTTTATAGGGAACTAAATCGGACAATTCAAATCCCCCCCAATGTTATGTTGTGTTGTATATTCAACGTTGATAATCCAAGTGTATCTGCTGAGCCCCATCCCCAAAGTATTTCTTTTTCTCCAGCGCTTAAACTCATTATCCAATCCGACTCACCTTGTGTGAGACTAGCTCCCAAAGGCTTAAAAAAATCATCATTGAGTGAGCAAACGCTGTAATACCCATCAGGTATAATAATAGGAGTGTGACTACCAATTTCACCTATTGATAACTTATTATTATTTCTAGCAGCACTTATATTGGTCCACCGTGGGTAATATGTTACATCGCACAGAGCTACTTCAAGTTGACCAGCCGAGTTATCGATAGTCTGAAGCAGTTCAATAGACTGACCATTTGTTATTCCCGGGAGTGTAACATACATATTAAATATACAATGATACTATATCATAACTTAAATACGAAATCAACTTATATTACTAATCAGTCGATTTTAGTAAGTGCCTCTGGTGATAATTATTTTGCTGAATTCCCTGATATCTTTGAAAAATACAGGTTCACGGCAACTTGCGATACTTGGTTTCACAATCCAATGCAATTTTGGCAGAACTACTTAAACTTTGCCATATGGTGTGCAACAACAGGATGTTGTGTATCTCTTTATACCCCAGGATTTGAACGAAATAAGTCTGTTTTATCATTTCACGTGTACTATCAGAAAAGACGTATACTTACTTAGTGCCCCATTATCGCAGTATCGAGCATGGAATGCATCAAATAATCTGTACAATAGGTTCGCGTATGAAGGTACTTGTCAGGAATGTAATATTGCTATGAGTAAAGATTGGCGTATTTAAGGAATTAACCATGGTGTAGGTGTTCTGTACAGCAGACAAAAAAACTGTTAAAGAAGAAAGCGATGATTTAGTTAAACAAAACTCATCAACCATTCGATCCATTTTTGTAAGATTGCATAATCTTAATCATGACTGGGAACTTTCGAGTAACGATTGGAGAGGAGATCAAATGAGTTTTAAGGGTGGTTTGTTACCAAATTTGTACAACTGAACGATACCGCAACCCAGCAGGCACGCAACGTTGGATCAACGTTTAACATTGGTTGCGTTTAGGTTGTGACGTTGATCAACCAAAATGCAACATTGTATCAACGTTAAATCTTAAACGTTGAGCCATGGTTGTGATACTGACGTCACAACAACGTTGAATTTAAGACGTACGTACATCATTTCAATTTGACGTACGCCTATTGGAAAATCGGCAAATCACCATACTTTTCACCTGTTTAAAAACTGCGCTGAAACCCAAGCATGATCAGTTAGGCTGCCAATTCAAAATTGAACAAGCTAGGTATATTTAATTATATATGTATATTTTTATATAATTACGTGCACATATGTAAAGAAATTCACAAAATTATTACACTACACGGATGATTCTCCGACATGTTTCAGTTTTATCTTCAGGGAGAAGTTGAAAAAAAAGTTGAAAAGGGTTTAATAAATATTTCGACGCGTGAATTTGAACTCGGTACTTGCAGCTGATGATAGTTGGATATTTAGCATCAGCGATGACAGGAAGTGGATTTGCGACTGCGCAGACAATTCAAAACTTGGCCGATACTCGATCGAGAAGTTCAAGTAACGTTTGGCATTCTTTGCATGTTTGTTTCCATTGAAAATTGGAAATGAGTTGTATTTCAATGTTCATTTAGTTATGACACGTAGATATCTAAAGTTGCATTATCGCACATACCTTTGACGAACAGATTAAAAATAACCCACCCAATCGGTCCATTGATAGGCTGAGCAGGCTGTATAAGTGGGCTACCACATGGCTCAGTCGGCCCGCACGAATATATAACTGACTTTTACTAACGTGTAGTTATTATTTTTTTTATATCCGAATATGTTTGAGTAAAGTTACTGAAAAATACCAGATATTACATGGGCCTAGTTGTTGAAATGTGGGCCCGATGCACGTAGCGGGTGTAGCCATGTTGATCGAGGTTGCCGCGCGCCATTATCGAATTTCTGTGTACGGTATTTCAGAGTAAATCTTCAATCAGTATGTTGCATGAAGTAGATTTTAGATGTTTAATGCCTTGCTTTCAATGCAATATACCGGACAACTACCATTTTTCGGTTAAGTATGTGCACGAGCTCATTCCTCACTAATGATTTCCAAGTTTTTCAGACGCCATTTTGTGGCCTCGCTAAAATGACATGGGCTTCGCGCCATTTGTGCACAAGCTCATTCTTCAGTGACGTTTTCTAAGTTCGTTTGCCGCCATTTATTTCGCCTTGCTAAATTAACAGGGGCCCCAAACACACAACGGCTTGAATTGACTTCTTTCGTAAGTAATCGTTGAATTACCAATGTACAAATACAACGTGTCTGTTGAAATGTCTCTCCGACGGATGTCACTAATGAGGTTGGTGCACGCTATCATTTACCTTCTATTTGTGAGTACTTTTTCGATGTTGATGTTCAAATTTCGACGTCATGGATCGCTTTGACATTCAATTTCAAAGGTAAATCATATTAAACCATAGAAATGCAAGCGGGGGTCATTCTTTCTGATTATTTTGGCCTTTATCGACCTATTTTTTCAAGTAGTGATGCTGTCACGAGCCCCTTCATTAGTAGCATCGAACAAACATGGCGGATATGTGTTCGGGGCGTAATGCATGTGTAACGTCAAATTAATAACTTGGCATCTCTACAAGAAGAAATTATGAAACTGTTCCATTAATATTATGAATGCGTACAGTGCCCAAAGTTAGGTCTTAATAAATTGGGTGGGTTGTCAGGTTTGTTCGATTGGCTGTCAATGTAGAAACTGTATTTGATATTCGGTATTTGACTGAAATTATGTTGCAATTATTGTTACTAGATTAGATTCTATATAGATATATCCTCCGATAGTTTTGAACATTATTATTCCACTGAATATTTTAAAATATTAGCAATAGTGTCCAACAATAACGCATAGTAGATTTCTATTCATATATATGTTCATTGTTGGCTTTAGGACAATTAATTGCAAGGTCAGTTATAGATCGTTCATGATGCATGTCTACCACCATCAGCTGTTCATTCCATTGGAATGCAGGAGGCAAGAATATGCAGTTATCTAATTTCTAGATCCTCAATGTGTGTTTAAGCCGTAATATAAACTATTCAAAGTTATAAGACATGAAATAGCGACTGTCGTAAATGGTGTTTCAGTTTGTTGGCAAAAAAAGATAAATTAGTTACTTTCCTACAGAAGTAAGATTAAATTTACCCATAGGTATTATCATTTCCAGTTTGTTCTGTTAGCATCTTAAATGTGATGTGTTTTTGTTTGAATTAAGTTGCTTGATTGTTTAATTATACATTTTCAGAACTGTTGTCAAGGCAACTTTGATGTTAAAGGTTTCAAATGTTAAAATTAGCGGGGTTAAATGTAAAGGTAACCTAGCTCTACATTGAAAACACGGTATGTGTATCTCCATTCTACCATGACTAAATAAAATGCAAACTCTTTGGTGTTAGCAAATATACTGAGTGAAGCGGCATGGGTTGAGTTCAGTGTTTTGGGTGGGTTATCGATCTGAATTATGGAATCACCAAACAAATTATGGCAATGTATATACTCAAGCAGCTTGTTTACATCGTTTTACTTCACTCGAACATATGACAGGCATTGAAAGCATATAAGCACAGCAACTTGGTAAGCTAACATGAGATAGGCATCCCTAAAGTTAACAAAGCATACTTTGCAAGGCTTTCGCTTTACAGTGCGCGTCAACATTATGACGTCATATCGCTCATTGTGATGCAAAAGATATGACATCACAGTCGTATATAAAAAAGCGCCAAAATTCTAAGCTCTTTGTTGTCTCCAAAACGTAAATACATTCCCTTTGTTGATTTCTGTCGTGTTTTCTGTACGAAATGTATTGCCACACATCCTTTAAATTTTGCAGTAACCGCATTGGTGCATTGTGTAACCTGTAATTGTAGATATAATTTTTTTAATATGCCTACCGACAATGACTAAAAATAGTACTATTCTATGAATATTAGCTTCCGCGGTGATTCGGCCGTCAAACCAGCTGTTTCAATCAAAAGGGGTTTATTGTGATTTAATAGCCTCTGATTGACCAATCAGAATCGAGTAAATTCCAAATTCATGGTAGAATTTGCTTTAAATATTGTGCTACTTTCTGAGTTACACTAAAGGAATCTATACCTGTTACAATCTATGTCTACAACAAACTATCTTTTATTGTTATGTATTTATTTCTGTTTCACAGGATTCCAGAGAAGGGTTCTCTATCTTTTGACGGAAATTAGGAACCTAATGAAACAGAATCAAGACTCAGTGGCAGACACAGTATCAGTTAGCTCTATCGAGCAACTCAATACACAGTAAGTGTTGGATACTGTCGAGGGGAGACTGAGAGAGGAAAGGATATCAAGCCAGCTTGGTAGGTCAAGTTGACGTTATGGTACTGTTATTACATTGTATGATTAGAATGTGTGTTTTTTTATGAATTGCTTGGCAACAAAAGTAAACAGTAAGGTGTCATCAGTTTTGGTTGAATTTATATACTTATATAATGATTTTCATACCACATATCAAGTTCAAATGTTCTTTTTACAGAAAAAATCCCTAAGAAGGACTGGCAGGGCGAATGCCAATGACCATGTGAAAAAGGCTATGCTAAGGTAAAATAGAATGACATTGTTGAAAGGTTACAGTAGCTCATTAGGTAGAACTCAGGTCCATGGATCCGTTTAGACTGGTACAAGTAGTGGTAGTGATCAAGTTTCTTGAGTTTTGAAAATGTGGCAAGGTATATATTTTTAGTGCCTCATTGAAAGATAAGTGGACTGTTTATAATAAGGAAGTGGTGTTGATCCACACACAAATCATTAATCAGTTGGTCAATGATTATATATGTACATCAAGAACATCGATCTATACTTTGAATTTGCATCCTCTGATATGTTACTGGTTATTTTTCAGAATGATGACAAACTCGCTCATGTCCAAAATGAACATGAAGGGAAAGACAACCAAGATTGCGTTTCATGTACTACTTTGTGTGTGGTGATTAAAGGTAAAAGTAATTATAATAATATTTTTTTATGTAAAGATATGAGAGCAATTAAACCATCACTCGAAAAGAGATCTCTATACATAACATCTTTTGTTCAAACTAATTAAAATCATATCTTTGTGTTTGCTACCACTAAACACATATATATGTATAGGTCTGAGGATACTGTGTACACATGAATTGGCATCTAAAAGGAAATGTATCTGTGATACTATTTCATTCAGTGAGTAAGCATAGGGGATATTCGTAATTAAGATTCTATATATATAATAACACAATGTAGTTTTAATGTTGTACACACAACTATTGAATAACTTAATAATAGTATTAAATTGCATGTTAATATTATTTCAGATGCAGTCCTCCTGACCTTTCGAAAGACAACGGAAACGGAACTTCAGGATATGGTCAGTCGATTTCTAAAATATGCCCCTGGAAGAACGTGGGGGATGGAAGGCCTAAGCACTAGGACCTCTTTGCCACCCCAAAAAAGAAGAGCATATGTTGTATATAGTTGAAATTAAGTATCAATTATCTTTGAATACAATTTTGGAAAAAATGTAACTTTGGTGTTCATTCGTCTTCTGCATCAGATATAAGTATTTAACAATATCATTCAAAGAATAGGCCCATGAAGATCGGGGATAGAATAGGTCTTCAGCAACCTATGCTTGTCATAAAAGGCGACTACGCTTGTCGTAAAAGGCCATTAACGGGATCGGGGTGGTCAGGCTCACTGACTAAGTTTATGCATGTCATTGCTCATGTTGTCAATCACTGGATTGTCTGGTCCAGATTCGATTATTTACAGACCGCCATCATATAGCTGGAATATTGCTGAGTGCAGCGTTAAACAAACCAAACCAAAATCAAAACCATTCAAAGTATAGGAATTACACAATGGGCAGCCAGTGAGTTATCTATGCTGAGGTCAAGTGACGCCTTCTCCTCATACCAATCAGTGACCTTGGCATTGATATTGAGTCGCATTTCCGGTTAGGGGTCAGCAGTCGTATTAATTTGGAGACGCATTTATTTCCAGATTTACAGTATTAGTTTTTTCCCCACTTCTTTGAAGTTAGTGAAATTGGTTAACACCTAATTAAGCTATCTATAGCTCAGCTTATGTATTGTTTAACTAAAACAAAATGGTTCGTTTTTAGGTGTGTATTATGACCGTCTAGAATATTTCACTGATCTCAAATATCAGGTAGGCCACCACTTCTTGAGCTGAACTTTTTCAAGGTTTACAAGAGGTCCTCTGATACATCAACGTTGAAACAACGTTGAAGCTACGTTGAAATAACGTTGAAACAACGTTGAAGTGTCAACTTCAGTTCAATTTGTATATGAAACCAATTTGCAACGTTGTTTCAACGTTGAAGAGTGACGTTGTTTCAACGTTGTAATGCCTGCTGGGAACGCTTGGTATGAATTTCTATATGATAAAACGGAAAATAAGTTTACTAACCCAGGAGTTGTAAGACTTAATGAATCAATAAGAACTTATGTATGGGCAATTTTATTGCACAGTCGCAAACACGAACGTCCATTATTGGTTCTGGGACGGCACTCGATGCACAAAAACGATTTGCCGCAAACGTGGGGGATGCTATTAATTCACCAGTTGACCCACCATCTGCTAAAAAAATACAGTCTGCTCGATTAAATGTAGACTACGTTTATGCACCGGGACTTTTCATGTCTCCTAGTAATATGGAACTTAAGATCGGTCAAGTGGTAGGCGATAATAATAAAATTGTTATTGCTACAGATCAACAAAAAATAGGTATAAATTCAGATATTAACACCGAATTAATAACGCAAACAAACACAGGCGAAACGGGAATAGCGAAGCCACAGACACCAGAACCATCTACTAACACACAACCACCAGTGCCACCAAATATTGTAGCTAAACATCAACAACATATCGTTGAAAAAACAGAGCTTATAGTAGGTGGAGTCGCAGCTGGTTTACTCATGATTTTGATAAAAATTCTTTAGCGGCCACGTACAACAGCCCGGCAATTGCTACGATCAGTGCCCACAACTTTTGACTAAGCCAAGTGGTGGTCTTAACTAATAAATTCAAGAGCCAGGAAACTATACTCCCTATTATACCAGGAAGTGCAGACGCGGCTTTCCCAGCGAGCTTTCCCAGTGCTGAACCTAATGCTTTTAAATGCATTTTTATCCACTCTTTTATACCATCACTAGGCGGTGTACCACCACCTGTACCACCAGTTAACGCGAGAGTCAAAGTCGATATAATAAATCCCAATGCGGTTAAATACTGGCAATGGTTATCCCCTGTTCACTAAATAATGTTTTAATTTTATCGGCCACTGTAGTGTCATCGTTGAGGACTTGATCGCTAGTTTCTCTAATTCAACTGATTTGAAAATGAAGGGCCTTTCTATTCCTGGAAGCAGCTTCGAGGCGGGCCGATCTTTCATCTTCTAAGTAACTCAATCTTTCTGCAATTTGGCGTCTACTGGATTCATCAGCCGCCTGTTCAAGTTTTTTTTTCTCATAAGCTATATTTTTGTCGAGTTTGGATAGCTTTGCTATATTAGTGATGATTTCTCCCCGCAATGTTTGCATTGCCTTGTCAAGACCTCGTAATTCCCTAATACTGAACTCCGAGGATGGTACACTGACCATTATCGTAGTAGGTATCCAAGATTTCTCCGAGCCCGTCGGAGGCCAGCATCGAGCCATCTTCCAAATTATCAGTTCAGTACAGACAGTCTGAAGAACCTTAGTAGTCTTCGCGGAAAGGTTTTTCTCGTCGTGAGTAGTCTACAAAACCTAATTCATCCCGAACAAAGTTGATGCCATGTTTAGCGTCTATCGTAGACAAAGCTAGGGGCTTACGAGTATGATAATGTAGAAGGTCAATATCAGGTTTGCCGCGTATTCGCAATATTCCTTTACTAACTAAACTTTGAATAGTCGTGAACAATAGGACTAAGATCTTAAAAGGTATCGTAATACTCATTAACGGTTGATTGTAAAAGCTCATCGCTAAGATTCGTAAAGCTGGTTTCATCAGTACACTCTTCGATTATCAAAATCATCTAGATTTAAATCATCCATTTTTATATTAAACATAAGGTTACATAATTTCAATATAATAATGTCTTCGCAATACGGACGCAAGTTAAACCAACAACGTAGACTTCGAGATCCATTAGGGGTCAAAGCAATTCGTAAGTCTGTAACTATAACTAATAGCCCTAGTACCATCGATCAGAATCAAACGCTTCTGGTTCGATTTCACACAATGTGTTAGTTCCGGGAACTGTGCGACTACCATTTACGATTAGTTTGACTTCTGCCAATGTTACCAGGGAGCCTGTTCAGAACATAGGTCAAGCTATCGTTAAAAGAATCATGATACAAATCAGGGGTAATGAGGTTTTGAGTATCAATGATAGCGATGTATACTATTGTTACATGGATCTCTGGAGAACGGATAAAGAGCAGGAAAACTTACAGTACCAAGGTATTTGTAATTGGAACACATTGAGACTGCGCGTAGGTGCTGATAATGGCGATAATACCGTCGTAAAAGATCTCGCTGTTGCCAGCGCATTAGGTAAGTGATTCTATATTCCGCTAGACTTTGAATTACTAGATTCCCACATGCCCTTTTATCAAGCATCCCTAGGCGATAGGTTAGAATACGAACTCACTTTTAATGACTACGGTAGAGTAATCAGAGCTGCTGAAGATGCTTACCATTCCATTGAAAATATCTCACTGAATTATGTTATGATAACAGATCCCAAATTAGCCAGACAAATTCGTAACCAGTATACCGGAAGTGAAGCTATTGTGTACGATCGCGTGCTTCGACACTGAAAGATCACAAGGAATTAAAAAGACACGACTATAAATATCAATCTAAACGTCCTCAAGAGATCGTTGAAGGGTATTTTAATTTTGTTCGAGGACCCCTCTGATGCATTTAAAAGAAATACTTGGAAAATCCAAAATCCCAAGATTACAAAAGTAGAATTGACTATCGAGGGCGTTCCTAATCCACTATATAGTCAAGGAATGCTAGCGTATCAGCAGTGGGATGAGATTAAAAAAACTCCCTTCTATAAAACGAAGCCCAGAAGTTAACTCGGTCGTGAAAGATCTGTCTCTCGGGGATGTATCGATGGATATATACCTCACCACAAAGTACGCGCTATGCCTCGACATGCGAACAACGGACGATGACCAACTACACGGCAGTGGGAGGAGAATAGAAAATGCTAGCGAGATAACGAAGCTCCATGTATCAGCTGTTAAATTAAACGTATATTTGTACGTGATTATGGATGCACAGCTCAGTATATGATTGGAGGGCCTATAAGAAGTCAACTATTTGTCGTATTTGTAATAAACCCCTTAATGGGGATTCCGTAAGAGATCATTGCCATGTCACAGGTAAGTATCTGGGAGCCGCGCATAACGAGTGTAACTTGAAACTAAAAATGAATTCTCAAACAATACCCATCCCCGTTGTGTTTCATAACTTAGGGGATACGATTCACATCTCATTATGCAAGCTATATCAAAGACCGACGTGCATTCCTAATAATATGGAAAAATACATATTGTTCTTGTTGACTAAAACTATACATTATACGGACAAGGATTGGAAAGCCAGAATAAAGCAAACGCGACGTAGGCCTCCTTTAAGTTCACCGGGGTGGTATAAATATCTTACGCATACTCTATCCGGAAGGTTTTGTTCTTTGCCTCTCCTCGGTGCTGAAGATTTGGAAGTCACGGATTTCATTTTAATCGCATCGGATGGTTTCTTCCCGATAAATCTCGCTACTTCATTATTCAGCTCTGATACAACAGATGATAATCGTGTCACCCATTCGCTTGATCTCAATCGTTCTGCTTTACTTTCGATACCATAGTGACAGCCAAACAAACGTTCCGCTATTATCTGGTTAAATCTTTTAACGATAGCTTGACTAGGGTAGGCCTCTTTTTTCACCTCGCCTGATTTCGACATTGTGCTTTGTTAACAGTTTAGTTACCGATCCCATAAACTCATAGAAGGATCCTCAATGTTTAGACAGACCAAGTGAGTCACTGAGTGAGGTGGGTTTAACGCCGCTTTTAACAGTATTCCAGTAATATCACGACATGTCAGCTTAAGGGATGCAATTAATTGTTTTATTAATTAATTATACAATAAACTATATGTTACTTTATATCGCCCTGGGCCAATGGGTTATGCCCATGTCCTCAAACTGACAAGAGGGATCACGGGCGGCCCAGTCGTCTAAGGCATCCCCGAGCCACTGTCTCACAGGACAAGCACTTATAGGTTTCTGATAACCAGTTCTCACCCGCAATCCACATGGAGATCTCGTCATCAATATCATCATCAATAAACAATGTGGTCAAACCTGGCCATGACAGTTGTACTGTTATCCCTGGCCTAATGTACGTAACCTAACTGTACAAGCGGGAAG